GCTATGAAAAATTTAGATTTTTAATACGCGCTAAAATTAAAATACCTTCTTGTAAAATATGTTAACAAAAGCTATTGCAACGATAATTGAATATTCTACAAAAATAAATTCAAAATTACCTACTCTGATGAATCAAAATTTAATGTACGCTTCAAGCATTTGATATTTTAGTTATTTTTATTCAAATCTTCACCAGTTAGGAAATAATGAAAATTGAAGATTGATTCAATTAACAATAAATACACGAAGAAAACAAAATATTTATATATTTATTCACAAATCTTATTCTTTTGTTAGAGCGAGGAAAGTTTGTGAAGTAATGGAGTTATCTAACTGAGCAATCAGCCGTTGAAAAGTTCACCACTGTGTTGCGAAACCTGTCTGTTTATCTTGCTCGCGTTTCGTTATTTCTGGACGTGACGTTGAACTTTGTAAGAAACTAGTGTATCAAAATGTTGTGCCGCGAGTCCTACTTTGGAAATTAAATAACGGCACCGTGTTTTCACAATCCCATATTTCTCTTTCCTATCGTGCAGTGTGTCACATTAAAAAACTTGCTTTTCCACGTGAAATCACAGAGAGATGCACCGACCAAACTTAAATTAGCCGACCAACTTTTGCCTCCCGCAGAGTTAGTTGGTTATCTTTGGTTTCTGCCACATTATAATTTAGCCTGCGCAAAGTTGGGTTATGTATACGTTCAGTTAGTTAGTTGCCGCTTTTTCACCGCCACCATTGTGCACAAATGGCGACGCAGTTCAGACAACTTTTGCCTGGCGCATTTGATTCTCGTTTTGAATCACGAGTGCATTTTGCACTTTACAGCCAGGATAATAATGCTGACGCAATTTGTATTTATGCAGAAATTTTCATTCACCTTCCGGCCACCGTTTTCATCGTTACCCGTGGTTTAATTAAAGTTGAAAGCTCTTGAATGTAAATTTATTGATCAGCCGCTTCATCGATAAAATTACATACATTTTTCCATACAAGAGGCCATTATCATCATCCCAGGGCAAAAACGATGTGGCGAGATTGAAAAATGGGGTTGCACATGGGAGATGGAATTCTATTGGAAGCAATTTTAAATTAATTAATACAGGAAAAAATATTGATATGGCTTTCACCATCAGTAAAGATTTGTGAAAATTTGTTGAAGGGTTTTTAGGGTGGTTGCGAGGAAACTGTTCAAAATGATAACGATAAAAAAAAATTCTCATATTTCCTCTGTTTTGATTTTGTTGAAAATGTTGGCTAGTAAAAGTGAAAAAGCTTGTATTCGTTGTTGAAGTGGCTTTTCTCAAAGACGTGAAGCAATTCAAAATAGCGTGAACGTGAATTGATAAATTGGACGTAAAATTAAATTATTTTGCCTTTTGGACTTTTTAATGAATATGAAAAAAATTATTTTAAATTCCACAAAATTGTTTCATAATTTATTTCTAAATCTCAACATTTCTTCTAGAGATTTCTACAAAATGTTTGATAAACAAAACGATAGATCTGAGGACTTAATCAAGTCAAATTAATTCAGCCGGAATAAATTTACAAAATAATCAATTTCTAATGGATTTTTTTTATACAAAGCGGCCTTTGAAGTGCGACATTTTTACAAACACCTCACAAAAGCTAATATCAAACAGAATTCATGAGAAGCCGCTCTGCTTTTTTGCCTCCATCGGACTAATTGCGTCGCGCTTTCAAAGGGACAAAAGCGTCCACCCAAAATAAGAACACGCTGCTTCATACCTAACGAAATTCACGCTTCGGAGGAACGACCTCGCGCACCTTATGAATATTTGATTGGACCTTGCGAAAATCACTCTTACGTGTGACAAAGAGAACGTACGAGGCCTTATGAAATATTCAAACCATTTGCTTCCTGCTTTTCCTGCTGGAATTCGGAACTTGCTTTGTGCAACAATAATCACTGATTAAGATAAGAGCAACTTAAAATGGCTGAAAATTGCAGAAATTTATTAACTTTCCCATGACTTTGGCATATTTCACAATTTTTCTTACATTTAATATGTACGGATGGAAATTAATCATATTAAAAGATTTAATTATTGCAAATAATGATTTTTTTTTCAGTTTTCGTTTCGATTTTTTAAGGCTCAAGTGAACTTGAATCTTCTATTAAAATTTAAAATTAGTTTATTCAAAAGAAGATTCTTTAGACAATGTAAATAAATCAAATGTAACATAGATTTATAACAATATGAAAAAAAATTGGTGATTAACTTTTAAACTTATTGGCTGGAAATTAAGTAAAATGTACAAATGGAGACCAAATTATAGCTATTTCAAGAAAAATCTTGTCACTAAAGCATCCTGCATAATCACCGATGTGATGAAATCAATTCTTAAGTGTTTTTTTTTTTTTTTTTTTTACCTAATATTCTCTATTTGAGTATTTAAAACCTAATTTCAGAAATTAAAAAAAAAAAAATAAAGTAAGATGAATTCTTGTCTTTTCTTTAGCAATTTGCTTAGAAAGTTGATCATAAAATGTTGAAACTTATATACTTAGTTTGCTTTATTTTCTTCTGCGGAAAATGGAAGCCAGACGAAAAACAATAAAATTATTCATCCCACAAGATCTGTGCGAGAAAACAGAATAAATTTTACGAACCGCGTTTAGTTGTGCGAGGCGAAGTGAGCATTATAATTGCACAGGAGGGCCTACTTTATTTATCGTCTGGGCGGAGGGGGAGCGTTTTCATTTTGCTCGCACATACGCACACCTACCCCTAATATGCGCAATTGCCGTTTATTTATTATTAGCTTCGGCTCCCCTCTTCGTCGATATATAAACTAATTTCGTTGTTGTTCTGGCAATTTCACGCCGGGGGAGTTTTGTTGCGTGCGTCACAACGAACGTACATTTTCTTGCAGGAAAGACGTACGCACGTCCCGAGCACGTGGCCCGTCTCCAGTGCAAAAACACGGTACAGCGCGAATCTTCTCTCGCGGGCAACAACATTTACCAGCGGCGAATTTGCGACGGACGTTAATGTGCAGCCGGCGCTAATAATTAATCGAAACTGCTGTCAAGCGCAAAAAACACGGCGCGCTCTCTCTGTTTGTGCGGCAGACTGTTTTGCGTTTGCCAGCGGCCGCCCTGCTGCGAAAGGGTTGGAATTTCGGTTAATTATGAGCAGACCTTGTACGGTACGAGGCGTGCTTTTAATTGAGGTCTGGTAGTAATTAAACGCTATTAAATATGACCAGCGCGATCAAGGCAATCATAATGGGGTTTACATTAATTAAAATTAATTAACTAGTACATTTTATGCTGCTCAAAATTATTTGAATTGAATTGGGCCGAAAGAAATTGTAAAAGGGTAAAAATGAGTTTATTTCTGAACATTCAAGGTTTTAATAACTGTAAATAATTATCATATTGATAAGTTTATAAAAGAACAGAAGATTTGATAGGTTCAAATTTTAGTTGAAAAAGGCATTTTACCAAAGAAATGCTTTGTTTGATTTGATTTCTATTTCAAAATTTAATAATGCATAATAATATTTTCAATATTAAATATTGAAGTAAATTTGAATATAATCATATAACAATTTTATTACCCATTTGATCATGATAGGTTTATAATTTTTTCCAAATTTTTATTACCAGGCTATAGACACAAAAATTTTCCTTTCTTTAAGATTTCATGGAAAAAATTCTCTTGCGATCATATTTTTTTTTTACCATTTTTATGAAAAATCCATTTTTTTTTTTAACTTGACTTTGTTGTGAAGCTCGCTGATAACAAGACAACATCCCCCCTCAGTTTCAAGATCAAACTCACTTCTACACACAATAAGCCCCCTTTCTAATTAAAACTCATTTTTAATTAAGGCACACATTAATCTGCTCAAAAAACGTGGGTGAATGACTGCTTAGAATTCGAAGGGAGGTGAACTTGCACGTTTTCTCTTAACAAGACCGCCCACGCTCGCACTTGGCAGAAGGTGCTGCTGAAATATAAATTTCCCGCCGCTTTCAGCTTCATCCTGCGCGAGGCCGTAATTTCACGTTGATTTATGCTCGACGTCATTGTCCGATGGGACGGCTTTCAGCAGCCGACAAATTTAATTACGCCCAACGAAATAATTGAAATAAACCCGGAGAGTGTTAAGAAAATGTCCTCGGAGTCCATGATGTGGATCGGAACTCGGAACTGCTGCTTGCGAAACACTCAAAAATCGCCCTCTCTATTTCTCTCAAGAGGATTTATGCCCTATTCTTTCTTGTCGGCTCGCATCAGCACAAGACTCGGCCCATTTTTGCCAGCAAGGTCTGCCTTACTTCGCTCCTTGCCAAGTTTCGAGAGCCTCTTACGTCGCAGAGTAATTGCGTTTTAATTAAATTCTGATAACTGCCTCTCCGAAGCAGCAGCCGCCGCCACGGAGCAATTCAATTCCAGTCGAAACTCTTTATTGTACTTTACTCCTTGTTCATTTTGTTCCTGTGCGTGTCGTGCAAAGAGGAAACAACCTCAAAGTTAATTACAAGACCGTTTGTTCTCAGAAAATGTTTCCGAGAAACGAGGAAAAATTAATCTTTTTAAAGTTTGTTATTTTTTTTTTATTTAATTAATTCAATGAATTTTTTTTAAATTACTATAATTATTTATGAAATAAAATTATTAAATACGCAGGAGGCTAATTTTATATGAAGTGAACTTTTCTAAAAAAAAGGCCACTGTGCTAATTTTAAGAAGAAAAGAGCCGGAAGGATTAGACAAACAAAGGCTGCTTACAAATCTGTGGCGTTGTCGTCATTCGCCACTTTTCCTGTTGTTAATTAAAACCGGCCCGCAGCAGCCAACTCGAAACGAATTTTAATTAAGATCTCAAATTACCTCCGGTGCCAAAGTAAGGACGCGAACAATATCCGACGAGTTTCGCGTTTCAAACTAACTTTGTAGCCACGCGTTTTAGTTGCAAACACGTCGGGGCGATCGCAGGACAAATCCGCACTTTTGCACACTTACCTGCGGTTCGTTGGTGAGCAGCGCGTGGTGCTCATGGCTGGGCGAGAGCGACCGCTTCGTGATGGCTGGGTGCTCGAAAATGTACACGTCGTCGAACAGCTGCAACACATCAAAGAGTGACGGTTATTCAATGAATCGTGTCAGTGAGTGAAGGCAATGAAGAGTGGGTGGAAACTTCACAGGTGTTTAATGGAGGGGTCAAAGTTTCCAAATATTTGCAGCTAAACCAGAGGACTCGAAAACACGCTGACTTAGTTAATTAATTCTTGCCGAAAGATGGCTATTTAAGCAATCGGTTCAAGGAAATCGATACGGTTAGGAGTGATTAATGTTTATTAAAAGTTAAAGTTGAAAATGATTCGCTATGCTGTCCACGGGCAAATACAGTTAATTAGAGAATGAAAATAAAATCAAGATGGACAGAATAATCAACATTTAAATCCAACGAATATAAGTTTATTGCTGAACATTGCTTTAAAAAAAACACAAGAGAAAATATTAAAACAAAAGTACATTCACTATTTTAAATAACTTTTGAGTGGGATATTTAAATTAAAAATAAAAATAAAAATTGACTGCCAGACTCTTTTTAAGTGACTTTGAGCCTATAAAATCACACCGGGGATTTTTTCGCCATTCTTTTCATCACACTGTATTGAATATTGAAACAAAATAATAAATACATATAATTATTTAACAAAAAATATACTTTAAATGAATTTTATTAAAGCAATTTTTTTTAATACGCTGAAATAAAATACAAAGAGTTTAAATTAGTATGAAAACAAGTATTGAACACCATGTTCTCTCCACAATTGGCAACCTCAGTTACTTGTCATTTTATATCAAAACCGACAAACAATGGCAGGCGTCAAGTAAATTTTCCAATACCACCCGTTGCCATATTTAAATTATTTCCTCTTCATTGGTGGCACGCGCAAATATCGAATAAATACTCCTATTTATTTGAAAAGATATGGCAGACAGGCGGTTTATATTGTAACAAATAATAATAATTGGGCTCTGGTCTGCCTGGCACCGAATAGATGCGTACAGAATCGATTGCAAACGAGAGTATAATGAACGGCCGGACGGACGCATGTCAATGCGAGCGCGGATCGGCTCGGTGGGGCGAAAAATTGGCTGCTGACTTTTTAATAAACACGCACCGATAAATAATATTTCAATTACATACCATGGGTGTTATTGTTCCGCGTCCCATAAATTAGAAGACCGGCTCTTTTATCATCGCTCTCAATCAGATCCGTCGAGCGTGTCGCAATATTGTGTGTTCGATGAGATAATAAAGCCGAGAGCGAGTTCATTTTCCTCGAGTCTGCTCTCCCATGCAAATCATTATTTATGAAAAACCAGCGTTGCCCGGATGAACGCATTTTTGGCTGAGCTTTAAACAAACAAACTAAAAAAAAAAATAACACTGTCTAGACGAGTGTACGCCGAAATTGCCCACTTTTATATTTATATCGAAGCGCATGAAGCATCTGTCCCAGATCACCCATTCAGCGGAGGAAAAAAAACAACGCATACATATTTTTCTCACTACTGCTGGACACAACCCAAATGGCATGTTTTGTCAGCTACAAAAGTAAAATACGCAGAATCTGTGTGATTTTTTGTGTGGGTTGCTTGTTTGCATCCGTAATTGTTGATGTTACCAATGCTAAATGAATAAATAAATACACTGGCAACAGTTGTTACCTAAATGATGAAAATAAGGTAGTCTTAAATTTTTGAAGTTATGCAACGTGCAAATCACTCCATTGCTCCAGGTTGCATACGCATTTTTATAATCGTTTTAGAAAAGTGGATAAGTTTCCTTCTTTAATTAATAAAAACATCAAATTATCCCGTTTTAAATGAATTTACCTAACTGTGAAAGAATTTCATCTTTCAAGGATTCAAAAATATACTACTTATTTTCCCTGGACAAGTTATTCTTGGAGTTGGTGGAAAATGCTGGTTTGACTCAAAATGTATTTGATCACATTAAAATTACTTTAAATTGAAAAATTACTTAAATTTTTTATTTCAACAGGTGGTGTCATCTGCTGGTCGAGGCAGCGACCGCGATTTTCATCTGTTAGCACTTTTTCCTTATCTGCTTTCATTCGTCGTCTTTGCTTTTTTCTCTCTTCAGACGAGCAAACATTTTCAAGTGTGTTGGCCATTTCCCTTTGAGCGGACGGCAATTGGCGTGCAATGCAATGAATGAGAAGTGGCGTCGTGCATCTCTCCAGCTATAGCTGTCACCACATGAATTATTTCTGCCGTCGACGTGCACAGAGCAAACAGCATAAACAGCCGGCGACGGGGAAAAATTCCGCCGGTTTATTGCGCTGCCAGTTGAGAAAAGGAGCAAAAGTTTACTCGGAATGGAAGCAGGAGTAAGAAAGTAAGTATTTTTATGGAGGAGCGAATCGTGTCCCGCATTTGACGATAAGCGAGCGACAGGGAGATAAGCAAGGTCAGTCGCTTTGAAGTTGGCATGAATTATTCAGAGCAGGGCGAGTGAGTGGCATTGGCTGTATTATTAGCACAAAAGGGACGCAAATCTTTTGGAAGATGTTATTAATTAGCGGTGAAAGGCAGAGAGATGCGCCTTTGAGACGCAAATCTCAAGCGTAATTCGAGTACAAAAGCTTAATTAGAGATACAAGGCGATATTATTATTTCTCCGTGCAAAACGTGAACGGATCCGCTGCTCTAATATATTATAAAGGCGAACGGAATTGGCTCCTAAATTGAATGTGGCCTTCCCTTTGAGTAGGAAGTTTACTTTGAAAAAAGGAAAAGGAAAAAGCCGGTAGCCATTTTTCGTCTGATGGGAAATTTGTGTCTTATTTGAATAGCTTTTGGGGAAGTTTAATCTTTGGGGACGCCAAAGCAGGGATATTGAATTTGGCAAATGAAAGCGTTTCTCTGTGAGGAAACAATGTGAACGCGGCTGGCTCAATACGGGTCATGCGGCGACGGCGGCGGCGTCTTTTGACCGAAAGCACAGAGACGTTTCAATCAGGGAAATGGGCTTTCGATCGGTCCATTCAAAGAATTACTTTGAAGAAGGAGAGAAAATTATTCAATAGCTTTCGAGTTTTGCTTTTAATCTGATGCAAATATAACAGTTCTTTCTTGATAATCAAACATCAAAAGCAGATTTCACTTATTGAAAAGTTTGCTAAAACAATTTTATTTCCGACTTTTATCGTTTAATTTTGACATTTTTAACTGAACGAATTAAAATATTTTAATTATTTCTCCTGATAATTTTCTGACAATATTGATTTTATTTATTCCTTCATGATTGGGTATCAATTTTTATTGTTCGTCAAAAATTCTACAAATTTAATTTTTCTAAAAATTATTATGTGGTACTTTTAATCAATCTACATTGTTTGCACAGAATTTTTTCAATTTTTAATCGTCCTTTGTCATTGAATTTTTTCTCCTTTTTTGTGCCCATTTCCATTAAAAGGCAAACGATATTGTTTCGCTGTAATACAATTTTGAAAACAGTGATGCTTCATTTGGAAAAACTCGTAGGTTTTATTTCAGAACAGTTGCCGTGGTGGTTAAATTGCTCGAGCGCTAGTCACGTTAGCCGAGGCAAAATGAAATCCACCCTGCTTTTTCCGACTGATAAACTCGCCTCGCGTGTGATTTACCGTGGCGAAATTAAAAATTCAAAACGCTCCCGGCCAGATAATAAATATTTATGCCTGCGTGTCGTGTATTCTGTGAGCGGAAAAAGAGGTCCACATACATACATACATACATATAAAAATGCCTGTTGATAATGTTTCGCACCTGACGTTGTTCACAACTGGCTGCCTCCTCTCGGGATAAAAATATCACCAGATTATGTGAGCGGATGAAAAATGAACATTTCGCTGACATATTATGCTTGGCATACGTGTCTGAGACGTGCACGTCACAATTCACCGTCGCGAAATTTGTCAACGCTCCTCCGGCAGAACTTTTTTTCTTCGCTTCTTTTTCTTCAAGCAAAATTGAGTTCATTATATTATCTGCAATGAGACAAAGAGTGAGAGAAAAAAACAACGGCCGAGCTGCTTCGCATGCAGATTCTCGCTTTTTGCACCACTCATTTCATCCGGCGGCGTGCGGAAAATTAGTTTAATTAAAGCTCATCAGCTGCCGCGCCGAGGAATAAAAAGCGGTGCATAGAAAGAGGGCCTTTGGAGCAATTGATTCAACGCCGCGCCACGCAAAATTTAATTAAAATGGGTGCTAGCCCCGACAAGAGATTTATTAAAAGGAATTTTGTTTCAAAATAATCCTGGTGTAATTTTAATGGTAATATTTTTAAAAATGAAGCATATATTACTGAAACACACAGCAAATAAAGTTTTTGTACTTATGCATATTATAAACAAATCAAACTGTGTTTTAAGTAAACTTTGATCATTATAATTGTTAAATCTATAATTTGAACTCATTATGATGTCCTTAGGTGGACATTAAAATCTGAATCGTATGACAGACACACTAAAATAAGCAACTTATAATTAATTTTCATAAAAATTTTTGTAAATGAAGAGTATGATATTTATAAATTATTAAACAGAAAACTATGGTTAATTTTAGAAAAATTATTCATAACAAATAATTTAATAGAATGGTATGAATTAAAAAATAAAAATAGTAAATTAATTTTAAAATTATTGTATAAAGGCAGAAAATAATAAAAAGTTATTTAAGTAAAACTCGTAATTAAAGCGCATAATCAATTATGAGAGATATAATTTATAATGTTTTGTTATCATTATTATTTTTTTTTTCATAAAGCAAGTCAAATTACGAGAGAATTCGATTTTTGAAATTAAATAAAAGACAAAAATTTATTCTCATGTTCATTTAGGGGGGGGGGGAGCTTTTCTCCAATTCATATAACTTTTGAAATGAAATATTAACAATTTGACAAAATTCAGTAACTTTTGAGTCAAATTATAGTTCACTTCTGGTTGTTCCATGTGTTCATACACAACTCAAACACAGCGCACGAAGTGCTTCGCTCGCACACTTGAAGCGAGAACGAAATCCGCGGCCGTAAAGTAAAA